AGCTCCGTTGTTCCCCCGTTTTTAGAGATTTGGGTACGGAGGAAAAGAGAGAGGGTTTTATTTTCTGACGCTGCGTGAGTTCCCCGACACACCGGGGACACATTGATGTATAAAAGACATAAAAAAGTACATTTTGCATTATAGGTCCCCTTTAACTAAAAGTAGAAATACTATGGTCTTAAAATACGCAATTACCAGGAAAAGTTCTGAATTGAAAATGTTTTTAAGTAGGAGTACACAAGTATTTTCAGCAAAATGTATTTCAGTTTTCAAAGTAGAGGTAAATAGTATAGAGAATATTACATTCCACCACTAACGTAACTTAAATTGGATGTACGTTGGATGTATGTTATTGAGGTAAGTGCAGGTGTACGGTTTGTTAAAATAAAGTTTGTGCTTCCTGTAGCGGTGGAGCTGGCTCGCCTCGCCTTCCCTGCTGAGGTGGTGAAACTGGAGGAGAGCTGGGGAGATTACCTCGTCCAGCAGAAGCAGATGGACGCCGCCATCAACCACTTCATTGAAGCAGGGTATGAAGAGGGATGAGACACAGATTTGGGCAGATGGAGAAGAGGAAAGATGACACATAATGAAAACAGATCGTTCTTTAAACCATCACCAGGACCATAATAGATATCTTTAAACATGATTTTATTCACCAGAAAGCAAAATAAAGACAGGTTACCAAGTCCCAGATTTGCAGGTTTTCCAATTTGAAAAGCATCTGAAACTGAAAATCTGTGGCAGGCTAAAACTCTCCACAGAAACAAAGGTTTTAAAACTACTTCTGCCAAAACTACTGCCAGTAATTCCTCCTGCCAGCAAACATTCAAAGTGTGAATCAGTCTTACCAAAATGATTTGCTTTAACTTAAATTTAAACCAAAGTTGATTGACTTTGAATTTGGCTTTGTTGGTGATTACACATATCATCTTAATGTCCAAGTTAATGCTCATATATGAAATGTAATGGATACAAACAAAGCTTGACTTCTATCTGTTGACTTTTTCCGGTTCACTCCTAGCTGCTCGCTGAAAGCCATCGAGGCGGCCATCGCAGCTCGTCAGTGGAAGAAAGCCGTCCACATCCTGGAGCTACAGGAGGATCCATCTGCAGGGAAATACTACGTGAAGATCGCTCAGCACTACGCCTCCATGCAGGAGTATGAGGTGAGAGGGGAGGGGGGTCATGTGAGATACTGTGGGGGGTTGAAAGTTGAGCTATGACCTCACTTTGATAATAGCTACTCTCCCATTTACACTAAACAGTTGCCCCGTGTTCTCCTGCTGAGGCAAAGTCTTTTCATGCAGTGATGTGTTTATAATAAGCCGTTCACAGATATGCTAACGATGCACACAGATTGGGGATTGGTGCTGATTCTTATTTGCCTCTTTCAAGTAGAGTTTGGACCGGTTTCCCTGGCTCATAGAGGAGGTACATTGAGCATATAAACAGAAAAACAATAGTGTTTGTGTTTATACCTTATACTCCATACTTATTGACCATCCTTAATTCAACCGTCCTTTATCCGGGAGGTAAGAGTGCATATTTCTAGTTTAATTAAATGA